TGTATGTATGTATGTATGTATGTATGCATGTATATCAGTGGTGGGTTTCAAAAACTTTTGGAACCTCTTCTGTAGGTTCTGGCCTGGTTTCCGGGTCCACTGGTGGAACCTCTTCTAACCGGTTCGGTAGATTTGATGAACTGGTTCTACCGAATAGATGCGAACTGGTAGGAACCCACCTCTGGTAGGGGGAATATTAAAATGTGTATACACCTTCATATAATAAAATAAAAATAAATAATAAGAGAAACCATGGAATAATTGAATAATGACATATTGCAACCTAATATAAATGTATATCATTATTAGAAATGTATACATAGATACATTGAATGTAATAATTATGGTTAACTTTATTAGTTTTATTTGCCTTAGAATGTGTGACACTCAGGTGCCACACTGTTCACACATTAATTTGATATATTTGTAAAAATAAATAAATAACTTTTTTTGGGGTGGGGAGAATAAAGTCATAGCTTTGAAAGAGTAGAATGGACTTGGTCATTTCAAAGAGCTGATCACTTTTTGAAAACCTCTCTCCATTTAAAAGTCCACTCCTGTAGAAATCCCACAGAGTGGAAATGGAAAAGGTTGACCATCCCCTTCTATGATAGCTTTTATACATATAAAGAAGCTTCGTTTTGTGTCTACCTGGACGGGAATTTAAATCCCATTTCTCTACAGGGTTATATTCTGAAACTTTCAAGTCTACTTTACGATCTCAGGATCTTGAAATTTCATTCTACCGAATGGGTAGACTATCCAGTTGCTTACCTGGCCCTGCTGGTTTTCTACTTCACTCATTGTGACAGCACAAATAATCATACAATAGATTTCTAATACAGAATTTCTCAGTGTCGGAGAAAATGTTTGGTACCAGTTGTTGCTGTCCTTGGCAGTTCTGATCAGTGGTTTGGGTATAACTTTCTGTCTTATTCTGCTTCCTTTTAGGCTAGCGGTTTCATTGGGACACAGCTCTCTCTGCTGGATCCTACTTGCAGAGCTAAATCAAACAGGACCCATTTTATTCTGGAGTCATCTTTGCACGATTGTGGGACCCGACAGATTCCCTATCCTTTGGATAACGTCGTCTATCTCAACTCTGTGAGTATCTTATCTCCTAGAATAGTGAGATAGAATCCCAAATCTCTCTTTCTTCTCCTCAGCTCTTAGAAAACACCAGGAGGAGGAGCAGAGATTAGTTCTGAGTTGTTTCTGTGATGCAAAGCTAGTGAAATCTGTTCCACATCTTTTTCCAAGATCTTTAAAAACAGTGAAGGGCAAAATAAACAAGATGGGAGGAATATTTCCTAGCGGCTGTTTAGTTCACAGTTACCATTATAATATCTTTCATATGACACATATGGTACCATATATAATGTTGACTTCTAACAAGAGACAGTGGGATGGTAGCACCATCTCATTCCATTCTTCAAATCTGGCTATATACCGTATTTTTCGGAGTATAAGACGGACCTTTTCCCCTCAAAATAGAGGCTGAAAATCTGGGTGCATCTTATACACTGAATACAGCATTTTTTGCCTCCTGAAACCCTGCCCCCTTCACCAAAATGGCCGTGCATAGCCTTTAGGAGCCTTGCAGAATGCTCCTGGGGGCTGGAGAGGGCAGAAATGAGCGAAAAATGGGCCATTTTTTGTTTGTTTTTGCCCCCCCCCCAGGAGCACTCTGGAAGCCTCCTAAAGGCTATGCACAGCCATTTTGGTGAAGGGGGGCAGGGTTTTAGGAGGCCAAAAATGCTGTATTCAGTGTATAAGATGCACCCAGATTTTCAGC